GTGTGTGAGTGTGTGTGTGAGTGTGTGTGAGAGTGCGTGTGTGTGAGTGTGTGTGTGTGAGAGTGTGTGTGTGTGTGTGTGTGTGTGAGAGTGCATGTGTGTGAGTGTGCGTGTGTGTGAGAGTGTGTGTGTGCGCAGTATTGGATGAGTAGAAGAAGGTGTGGAGAGACTTCAGTTTGTCTTAGCAGCGGGTCCTCTAACGCCAGTGGCGGCCACAGTAAACCATCCCCGAGCGGTCCCCCGTGCTGGGCACGCAGCTGTCCCCGGCGCCCGCAGGACAGCGCGTGAGTGAGGGGGGCAGGAGCGCGGCTGCTGTCTCCAGAGGAGGGGCTGCGGCTCGGAGAAGCTGCGGACATCGCAGCATCGCAGGCTGGGCCTCAGACCCAAACCTGCCTGGTTCCAAAACCTGAGCCTCCCACTGGAGCCGGGGCCTCCCCACCCCCGACAAATGGCCGGCTGTGTCCCCTTGTCCGGGGTTAGGGAACCTGCCCACCCGAAGGAAACAACTCTCTAGGCCAGTGGGTGCCGACTGAGGCCCTCAGGCTGGATTCACTCCCCATGAGGGTTTGCTTGGTCCTCGCCTCGTTGTGCAAACATGTGGGTCTGATTCAGGCAGTTCACCATAGTGTCGCCACATTTCCTCACACCCCAAATTCCAGTCCTTCATGTTACCTGCCCGGCTGCTATGGGCAAGTGAGCGCTTGTCAGTCTACTTGTCACCCAGCGCTTTGTCCAAGTGAGCCGGGGCTTCAGCCCCCCTTGTTACAGTTCCCCCCTCTGCACACAGAGGTCGTGGAACCCGCCCTCCCGTGATGGTGGGGAGGACGGCGGCGATGCTGAGGATGAGGACGGCGGCGATGCCGGGGAGGAGGACGGCGGCGATGCCGGGGAGGACGGCGGCGATGGTGGGGAGGACGGCGGCGATGCTGGGGAGGACGGCGGTGATGCTGGGGAGGACGGCGGCGATGCTGAGGATGAGGACGGCGGCGATGCTGGGGAGGACGGCGGTGATGCTGGGGAGGACGGCGGCGACGCTCGGGAGGACGGCGGTGATGCTGAGGCTGCAGCTGCTGCTGCTAACCATGGGAATGGTGACGTTAAAGAAAAAGTTACTCAAGACCCTTGCGACAGATACAGTGGAGAATTGTGACCTTCCTCCCCTCAGTGATACACTCTCAAGACCAGGGGTCACGGGCTCATTTGCTAGATACGTTCAAAGCCACATTTGAGAGCCTCATTCCCCAAGTTGGAGCAGTGGTGCTGGCGATGGAGATGGAGGGGGGGGGGGCATGGAGGGCGGAGCGGGAGAGAGCCAGCCCCTCTCTGACTCCCCAGGTACCCTCCTGGCTGAACTCACTGTGGGAAATCAGAGTTTATCATTCTTTCCCCAACGGGAGAGGAAACTAGACTAGAAAAAGACACCAGCAGGGAGCTTGAACGCCACGCCTGGCAACCAGTCAGCGTTCAGCACGTCGCAGCCGCGTTTGTCCCACCATGAGGGGCTCTGCAGGTTGATTTCCATCGCTCAACCAGAACACAGCAGACTTTAAGTCCATATCCAGAAAGTGTCACTGAGAAGGACTGCATTCTTGCACAGACAGCTCTTCCCGCGGGATGGTGGTGGGGAGGCCGGTCCCCTGTTGTGGGATTTGATTTCCTGCATCGTCACCAAATCCCACAGTGTTAGGTATCGAGACCCTCATCCTTTCGACCGTGTTGATCCGCTCACTGGAAGCTTGGCGTGAAAGGCCTTCAGATTCGATGCTCTCTGATGCAGAAGGAAACATCCTTGCTCCCCAATGGCTTTGAGGCCCTGTGTCCTCTGCAGAGGGTGAATGACACAGGAATGGCCCAAGCCCCTGGGGGCAGCATAGAAAGGTGGGTGTGGCCCCATTAACAGGTAAGGGTCATCTAGAAGGTGAGATGTGATCTTGCAGGCCCTCACCCATCTTTCCCAAATTCCAAGGAGAGGACCATCTGTCCACATTCCACACGTAATGCAGAGGCCCTGTAGCCTCTCCCTGGGTGTCTCCTTGGGCGGGGGTGGCAGCTATGCAGTAGGGCATTTCAGCTCATGGGAAATTAAAACCTATCAAGGGTACGAGCAGGCCATGGGGCGGGCGCGTGTGCGCACACATCCAATTTGCGCCTAATCTTCCCTTTTGTGTCAGCCAGAGAGGGTGGGTGGGAAGGTGACGTTCAAGGTTGGAGGGTAATTGACCCGAGAATGCAGCGAGCAAACATCTTACACACCACGGAGAGCCTCTGGAAACTGATTGGAACCATTTGTGTGGTCAACAAGCATGAGGGCCGCAGAGAACTGGAAAGCCGGGACAATATCTGCTCTGTTCTGAGGCGCGGAACAGATGCCAGCGTTCCTTCTGACTTTACAGCTTTTTCTTGGCTTGTGCGGGTGAAAGAGGCTGATTAAAAACGGGGCCCGCACTGGATGTGGAGCAGCCTGCCAGAATGTGGCACAGGACCCAGTGGGCCGGGGCTGGAGTCCTCGCTGCCTGCAGCTCCCACCGAGCACACGCATCAGGCAGCCCCCACCGGCCTCCGAGGTCCAGGGGCCCCAGGGATGCACCTTTACTCTCTCTGCGATTTTCTTCCTGCCCCTGTGCAGAAGTCAGGCCCAGGCTAAGGAGCAGGGTGACACCATCATCCCTCAGCCTCTCTGCAACTAATAAAACCCCTCAGAAATGGATGGAAAGATATTCATCCCCTCCAAAGCCATTTCTTCCTGTAGTGGTGTCTTAGGTAAAACCGAGTGAGTGCAGGGCATTGGGTTTCACTGGGCGAATCACTGTGTGGTCTGTTCTGAGAGCCAAGACTTTCCAACCATACATTTCAACGGCGGTTACTCAAGTTTGGGTAAGAAAACACTTACCCAATTTCCGAGCAGACGGTGAACCGCGGGGCCTGTAACAGATACGAAGAGACGGTGCGAGTTTCCCGGCAGCGCCCGGCTCCCTGGCCCGGAGCGCACGTCCAAGGGGCTGATACAGGATGCAGCCATGCCTGCCAATTAGCCCCCGGCCCCTTCGGTGGGAGACGGGGCAAGGCTCCCTGTGTGCGTTTCAGGGAATTTCACATGGTGCCCGCTCCCCTGCCAGAGGGGTCGAGGCTCGCGGGAGGAAACTGGAATGTGGATTGGAAAATGAAAATACTCTCTTAATGAGGAGCCAGAAAAGACTGGAAATGCCAGAGCTGGAAGGGGCCTTGGAGAGGGGCGAACTCAGGTCTTGGGGCTTCGGTGGCCTCCTCCATAAAATGAAGGAGTGGGGGTGGAGGGGGGTGCCTGAGGCCAGCCGTCTGAGGCCACCCAAGGTGTTAGTGGCTCAGCTGGGCTCAGACCCCTGACCCCAATCCAGGCTCTTTCCGCCACGGCATGCTCCCCGTCCAGAATAGAGCCCACTGAGAGCATTCAGCAGGAGGCAGCTTCCCTGTAAGTATTTGTCTGCTACACCCACGAGGGAATTCTGCAGACCAAAGGATCATCTAACCTCCCTGTTACACAAACCCTCTAAGGTGGATCTGAGCCAATTCTGATTGAGGCTCCTTCATTCATTCCACCGTGTTCTGACTTGTTCCGTGTGTGTGTGTGCGTGCCTGTGTGTGTATGCATGTGCATCTCTGTGAGATTTACTGAGCCTCCCACCTCCATCCCAGCCAATGAAGTACTGCACCTGTTCTGGGCTCTAGGCATCACCCCCACTCTACAGAAGTTCCAATCCAGCTGAGGAGGCAGATGCCGAACAAACAATTGATGGTGGTGTGATAGGCAGGACAGTGATCCTCGATTTCCCACAGACTAGTAGTTCCTTCAGGGTGGGACAATAAGCTTTCTCCATCCCAAAACTCAGTGCTGAGCAGATGACTGATAGAAATGCACATTGTTGGTTCATTGGTACCTGCTTGTTGATTAGCTGATTGGTCAGTTGGTTGACTAATTATTGATTGGTTGCTATTGGTAGAGTGGGTGGTTTTTCATTGATTGGTTGGTTGGATGGTTAATTGATTGACTAATTATTGGTTTACTGTTATTGTTTGGGTGAGTGGTTATTAATAATTGTTTGGTTGGTTGGATGGATAGATGGATGGTTAGTTGACTAATTCTTAGTTGTTATTGGTTGTGTGGGTAGTTGTTCATTAGTTGGTTGGTTGGCTGAAAACAAAAACCAAATCTAAACCATCATGGCATCCTAAAGGGAACATAGATTTGGGGGTCATAAAGCATTGATTCCACTCCTAATTCTGCCACTTCTAAACTTTGTGACCCAGAGAAATGTCTTTGACATTTCCAAGCCACAAGCTCCTCATCTGTAAAATAGGGATAATGGCCCCTACTTTGAAGTTAATATATGTAAAGTGACTAGTACATAAATAGCATTCAATAACGGAAGCTATTACTCATAAAAGAAATGAAGAATTAGGTTCTGTAATTTGTTAGGCATCTTTCCCACAACTCCCAACACAATGTCCCTTCAAGAGTTTGCACACCATTAAGCAGCCTATGTGATGAGTGATCTGCCTATGTGATGAGTAATGAGCCTATGTGGTAAGGCCAGAAAGAAATAGGGTCATCACAGCCATTGCATAATAAAAGCCAACTGTAACTTAGAAAGTGTATAGAACCTTTGAATGAGTTTCAAATCCCATTGGCGTTCAAGTCTTCTCTCCCTTGGCCACTTGGGATTAAAAGCCAGCACCAAACACAAGCATCTAATGGAGAGAAGATTCCCCAAGGCTCACTTATACAAGACCTACAAGCATCCAAAACATTTACAGTTTGTAAAGAATATTTGCATCTATCATGTCACGTGACCTTCGCATACTCCTGGCAAGCAGGCAAAGCTCAATTAGTCTCCTCAGTCTACAGATGAGGAAACTGAGGCTCAGAGAAGTAGAATTATTCAAGTCACACAGCAGAGCCCAAGGGAAGTCCTATGCCTTTCCTGAACTGGGGCACATGTTTAAGGTCTTAGAGCACAAACCTAAGGTATTGAGCAGGAATCCTTGGCCCCAAAACATCTCTGAAGTTGTTGTTTTAGTTTAAAATCCAAGGCAGGTACTTTTGCCAACATGCTCTCCAAGGACAATACACTACTGAAACACGGAAGTCACCATTTTTGCAAATTTCCCATGAAAATCCCAAAGAGCTATAAATGAAAAATAAACATACTGATATTAAATTAAATCAAACATCATACAATTCTGTAAAGTACCAGAGTAACCAAATGCCAGCTCAAATGACCCTGGTTCAGCTCCCATTACATGTATGCAGGGGACCTGTGTCCAATCTTATCTCTCCAGGAATCTAGGAATTGGGCATGGCTTCCTTCTTTTTCCTAGTCATGTCTGGCTCCAAGCTCCTATTTGCACTGAAGTTGTCCACTTATGCATCATATCACTGTCCCATGTGTGACCATCTCTGTTCTTTTGGCCTACGGGATTAGATGCAGTAAAGAAGAAAATCAGTGAATTAGAAGACAGACCTAAAAGAACACATGGAATGCAACACACAGAAATTAAGAGGTGGAAAACATGAAAGAGAATTAAGAGATATGGAAGATAAAATGAGAAGCTCCAACAAACATTTAATAAGTTCCCTAAAGAACCAAATAGATAATGAAAGATATACTTTCTGCAAAATAACATCTAAAATTTTTCCAAAATCAAATAAGGACTTGAATATTCAGAATGAAGGAGCATACTGACTCACAAGCAGCTTGGGATGGATGGATGGATGGATGGATGGATGGATGGATGGATGGATGACCTAGTGATGGACTTGAGTAATCACATATCTGTGGAAAGACTCCTTTAGCTTAAAAACAAACAATGAATTCCTAATGCACCTTGCTGCCAAGTTCATCTCCCAGAGGATGGAAAGAGATATAATATTCTGAAAATCATTCTGATCCATAAAAAAGAGCTGAAGAACTTCTTGGAGATGAGGCAATGTAATCATTCTATTGCAAAGTAACAAAAAGTAAATCCCTACCTCACCTCAGAGACAAAACTAAACTCCAAATGTATTAAACAGCTAAATATGAAAAGCAAAATATTAAAGTGTTTCGGAAAAAGTACAAAGGAATAGTTTTACAAATTTTGAGGAGGATTTCTTAAACAAGAGGTACAGATGAAAATCATAAAGGACTGTTGGTGAATTGGGGGTCACTAGAGAGGTTGCAAGGCTGAGTCCTAGTGAAGAAACAAACAACTCATCAATGACGGGATTTTTGTGATAAGCAAAAAAAACAAACATCTGGGAGTGGCTGAGTTCCTTCAGATCCTCCTAAAAGGCAATTCAGTCATCATAATCATCATCACCATCACCTTCATCATCATCACATCATCATCACCATCATCATCACCGTCACCTTCATCATCATCACCATCATCAACTGATATACTGAGCACTGGGCGTGCGCATTTAATCTTACACATTCTATCTGCATTTGCTCATTAAATTCTTATGAAAACCCTCAGCAAGCATGGGTAAAATCATTGTTGGAGACGAGAAAGCAGACAGAGCTCCTGAGACCTGCCCCATGTCCCACAGCTGGGAAGTCATGGGTTTGATGCCAGGACAGGCCCATGTCCATGTATGTCCATGGCATGCCTCTTTAGGTCCTGGCTCTTGCCTGTCATGCTGAGCTCTCCACCAGGTGTCTTCAAACTGCTTCCTTGAAGTCCATCTTCTTCATGCACAGGCCAAAATATATTCATCTATATTTCACAGAGTTAAGACCGCCTAGGTGCTGGGGGCCCTGCAAGACCCCAGAGGTGCTGAGTTCTATTTCACATGGCTCATTTCATCACAGACTGGTAGGAAATATCATAGCAAACATTTTCTTTTTTTTAAGTTGAGAAACAAACAAATACATTGACTATTTTCCAAGGGTTCCACCAATATGAGGGCATTGACTCTAATGGAATGTGAAAGATCCACACTGGAGAGGGGAGGCGTGAATAAACCCTCTCTCCCTCCCCAGGTTTACTGGAGAAAACTGGTTTTTTGCAGTTGGAAAAACAACTACATTTCAATCAGGACCAAATTCCAAAGGCTTTGTCGGCGCTCAAAAGTGCCCACATGGTACAGAGCCCTGGCCTGGCCAACTTCCTACTCAAAAACCTATTTCTACAACTCTTTGGATATTTAAAAAAAAAAAATAAAACACAAGATAAACTCAGCTTATACCCAAATGAAAGGATTTGTTCCCACTTTAATGCCAGTTGAGGGTGTTTTATAGCCGTCACTGTGTGTCTTTTACACATCTATTTTTAAGTACTACAGACTTAATGATCATGACAGAATATATAAAACCCTTTATGAATTCCATCTACAAAATTACAGTAAGATCTAGGCAGTAAAAATGTGCAGTGGACACTATTAAGCAGTGATGGTGGGGCCTAAATTGTGCTGAACGAGTCCTCTTTTGAACAGGAGCATGAACTAAGATATGTTCATCTTTTTCCTTAAGGTGCCCCCACTTTACACCCACCTCCTCTGGAAAATACAGGGACGTACAAGGGATCAGATGCAGTTGAGTGATGGTCAGGCTATGAAAACCAAGGTCAGCTCACATTTCCAAGACCATCTATCTACCTGTGAGAAAGGCCTTCAGGTACTTCAATAAAACAAGCTAACACCTACTACCAGCCAGGTGATGTTCTAGGCACTTAAATGTATTAACTCATTTAAGACTCGCCACAGCTCTGTGCAATAGGCACTGTCATTGTCACTAAAATAGGAAAATATTAAATATAAAACACAGATGTGGAAGCTGAGGCACAGAGAGTTTAAGCAAGTTGTCCAAAGACACACAGCTAGTAGGTGGAAGGGCTGAAATTTGAACCCAGACCAACTGGCTCTGATCCCTGCTCTTAACCACCACACTCCCTGCCTCTCATGAATATCTACTAGCAAGGTCATACTTGATTGTAGGTACATTGCTACCGGACACAGAG